GTGTTTTTTCCCCTTTTATTTCATTGATTTTTCATCGTTTTTCTTTTCAAATTGAGTATTTTTCTAATTTCTCTTTCACAAATTATGTATTTAAAAGAATCTATTTTTATTTAAATGTTATTTTCTCTACAACTTCAGGTTTTGAGATTGGGTTGTACAAATAGCATTCTCTAGTGATGGTTAATGAGGCATCTGTCTTGCAGAATACTGACACCTGCTGGACATTTAAAGGTACTACAGGCAGCTTATTAGACTAAACTGAATAGATCTGATAAACTATTGCTATGATAGCACTTAAGTTATTGTAGCTTATATTGTATTATTTCATATCTATCTTTAAATAGAAAATATTTTTGATATTTTTACATGCAGCCAATAAATAACATAAACATTTATCATAATGTGAATATTTAGGGTGAAATCTGAATGAAGATGCTTGTGGACTAGGATTTTAAAACAATAAGTGCAGTAAAAACAGTAAATTAACTAAAAGTCAATTTGGAATTTACTTTAATTGAGATAAGTTGAGTTATACCTGAGAGGAAAAGTATAAGACAACAAGAAAATTAAAATAAAAACCCAACGGCTGAAACGTTCCTGTTCCTTTTATGCTCCAAAATTCTGGATCATTTTAATGATAAAAAGCAAAAGATGAGACATTTTTTTTTAGCAGATGCATCATGTCGACAGATATGTTTAAGTTAAACACAGTTTAGTGAGTCAGTCAGTTAGAAATAAAATTCTGGATTGGCCACAAGACTTTCTGGTAACTGTGGGCGGTTCTAGACAGGGGCCAACGGGGGGCCAGTGCCCCTCTAGATCATGTCCTGGCCCCTGTTATGGCCCCTGTACTGAAGACTCAAAGGAATTCTAATGATGATCTGCGCTGGAACAGACATGGTTACTGATTGGTCCTTTGCATCTATTTCTTTTTTTTTTTCGTTTCATTATGTTTTACTAATTATTTAAAAACAATAAGGTGATAGCTTCAGTGGGATTGAGAATAGAAATGTCACTTCATGCAGCTATATAAATATATTTGCAGGGATTAAAGCAAAAAAAAAAAAATCCTGAGCCTGAACTTTTCGACACAGGCAAGAGACTCATATATATATAAATAAATAAATGCGTGTGTATTTTTAAGCCAAGACTTTTGAAAATCCAATACCAAAAGCGGCCAGCAGATGGCAGCAGTGTATCTATATGTAGTGTGAATGAGAGGTTGTGTTCGGTGAGGAAAGCCTTATTATTAACTCTCATAAACGGTCAGTTATTGACGCTGGTCCATCAGCTGTTGCCGTAGCTCCCGGCTAACGTGTAGCGTGCGCGGCCGCACGAACAGCAGCTTGATGACCAGGGTCATGTCTGCGTAGCACCTTTTTTTTCGCAGGATGCGTAAATAAACGTTCCTGGAGCACAGCGTGCCGGAGTTCATGGACTGCATGGTTCCCACTCCATGCTTCTCTCTATCGTCCTTCTCTCCAAACACAAAGTTAAATTTTTTTGTTTTTTGACCTTTTACACGTATCTCCGTTGAATAGCAGGTGACTTTCCGTGTAGAACAGCACTGAACCCAAATCTATCTGGCGACTTTAGCAAGAAACGAGAGGAGGAGGAACACGCTTTCCTAAGACCCGCCCCCTTCTCCTTCTGATTGGCTAGTACTGTTAGTTTCAGAGCGCTCCTTTGCTACCACTGACTGACAAACGCAAGAGGGATTTCGAATTTTCTTTCTTTTTGTTTATTTACCGTCAATTTATTTTCAAGTGATTTTTAGTTTTTTACCCATGGGTAATCCACTATGGAGCGGAATATTTTACTCCTTGTATTTGAATCCCTTCCGTGTTTTTTTATTTCATGCTTTTCTGGGCCCCCATGAAAACAATGCTGGCCCCCTGGAACACTTGGTCTAGAACCGCCACTGAAACGCCACGCGAACCGATACAGCGTTTTGCTCTGTGGGCTCCACGCATGCACCAACGCATCGGTGTTACTGGACCCATCACTAACATTCTCTTCATTTCTGGGAGCTTGTTTTCCTCTGGAGCAGAAACGGATTTAGGAAATTTGGGGCCAGGCAGACAGGCAGGGGGCCCCATTTTTCATTTGGATGAAATAATAGCTGCATGAATCATGACAGCAGACAAGATAGAGGAGAGCAGGAGGCGGGGTTACCAATCTACTCGCTCT